GAGCAAATTGGTCAAATCGACGACATCTACAGACTCATCTAATTGCATCTGCTCATCTTAACGCGCTCTATCAGTGTACTTTTGACATCATCCGCCATATCAGTAATTCATGAGTGACTGTGTCTTTCGGAGGGGGCAGCCAGTCGAGCTGTTTAGCAGCTTTTTCTCCACATGTAATATGTGTCAGCTCTTTTGCCAACGGTAAATAAGGTTCTTCAAAAATATTGTGGGGCTTACCTGCTTTAGCAATCCGCAAGCTTGCATTTTTCCCCGTTTCCGTTTCAGGAGTCCATCTCAGAAATTAGGAGAGGTTTTTATTTCACGCGCATGGGAGCGAAACATAGACGCTCTGTGTATTTTCAGCATATTAACCTAGAACAGTTCTTAAATATTATTCTGTTATCCATCACGCTTTCCTGTGCTCACAAGATAGCCAGCGTTCTTAGCACGCATTTCTATGCATTCCTGTGCTTACAACATTGGCATTGTTACAAAATCACACATATTCTCTACCTCCCTATTTGCTAGAGATAACTTTTTTTAAATACAATTGGTCACTTGCGTTTATAGCACACATTCCTATAGAATAGTATAGAATTACATAGTAGCTCTTGTGTCTACTCAAGTAGTAGTGCGTGCTGTATGGTAGTAACTAAGCTGCGTATCCTGATTTTTCGGTGCACACAACAAAGCTCCAGGGTCATATGGCGTACCACCTTGCGGCAGTACCATAGTTTGAGAACCACTGGTGTAAAGTATTGATGTAGACATCTGCAACAGCAACTAACCAACATTTGGCTCAATGTACTCTATTTTACTTGCAAAAACAGTGGTTGGATTTTGAAGATGTTTCAATTGCCGTTTGACAGAAAGATTCCCCTTGGGTTTTGGTGTCCATAAAAGACGAGATCCTTATTAAATTCGCTCTGTTGTCTCCAGAAACCATCATGGCCCACAGCTCGGAGCGGGAGACTGGCCTGGTGGTGGACAGCCAGTTCCGCAACCCCCAGAGCTGGTCACCTTCTCCCACCTCCTCCCCTCCGCTGCCCCCCCATCAGGCGGGCCGAGCCTTGGGGGAGCCCAGCAGGCGAGCCGGGCATGAGAGGCGGTCCTCAGGAGCCCAGCAGGCGCACGGGGCCACCGAGACCCTCAAGAGGGCCAGCGAAGAGCATCTCGTCAGCAGCTGCGAGTCGGTCCAGACCATCTGCGACTCCAGAGAGGCGGGCGAGACCCCCCAGCTCTCCAGCACGCCCACCATCCGCATTGAGCAGGAGGCGGGAGAGAACAGCAGGCCAGAGGGCCTGGCGGACGGCAGCGGCGAGGGCAGCCCGCGAAGCCTCGAGTCGGAGGAGCAGTTCGACCCCCCGGCGGAGGAGGGCATCCGACGCCCGGACAGCTTGAAGGGCATCCAGTCTTTCCAGAGGAGCCAGAGCAACTTCGCGAGCCTGGGCCTCGCCTTCCCGGCCCAGAATGGCTCCCTGGCCATCGCGCTCTGGCCTAGCCTGGCCGACAGGGGCCAGCTGCCCGAGGACTGGGAGAGCTACACCTTCTCTCCCGGCTACGAGCGCGCCTACAGCAGACCTGACTCTACGGGAGACAGGTGAGGCCGGCCAGGCTGCCAGACAAACCCCGTTTTCTTTGTGCTTAATGTTCGTGCAGTTACACGTGCGTGTTTACGGTGAGAAGGCAAACCCTTCGTGCCTTTTCTCCTGCGGAATAGTTCCATGCACTGCTCAGTTTTGCTAAAAGCTTTCCTGCGTCATGTCACTTGGAGCAGGATTCCCTAAAGTGGCAGCACACAATATCCTGAGCACCACCAAGCTCTGCCGGCTCTCCTCAGTGCAGCACACCCAGCAGCCCTAACCAGCTCTTTCAGGCTGAGCTGCTGCCTGTGAGGTGGTGGCTGTGTTTAAAGACGAATGGCTCTGCAGCTCAAAGGAGGGCGGGTCGGAGATTCTGTGTACACCATCTCACTCTCCTCTGAGTGCGGTCACAGGCGTCCTTAGCCGAGAGCCAGCCAAGACAAAAGAAAAAAAACCCACAGCTGACTCTTCTTTTGTTTGTTTTTGTTAAAAAGAGAAAACGTTTCTCACATCTTATTACAATGATAATAATATATGACATACATATACAATAATAAGCTGTATACTCCGCTAGGCCAGCTTCAGTGCATTGTGAATGTAGGTTAAAGTATGTCTTCGTTTATGGACTCACTGCATTCGTGTATGAGTTCAATTCAGCCAGCATGTAGTTCATTATCTCCTCGGGGGGTGCCCTTTGATCCCTTTGAAAGAAAGTTCTTATTTGCCAGTATGTGCTTTCAATATTGGTTCTGCAATACTGAGTTTACTGTGTACACAGTTACAGCATGGACTGTCAAAAGAACCAGTTTAATCTGCTTCTAGAGCAAATGGAGCTGAAGTCAAATGTTGGCTGGTGCAGTATTCCACATTACTAACCTGCTGTAAAAAAGTGAGAATTGTTTTGCAGCGGTACTCTATCCTGACCTGTGCTGGTTTGACAGGGACAGTGCAGTACGTGAAAAGCCATGCTGAAACTGTAACAGAAAATCCCTTCCATAATGTGCCCTAATGAAAATGAAAGTTTCACAGATCCTTGTCTGAGAGTAATGATAATCGGTACTTGTGATTGTTGGCTTTCTTCCCTACTGTGAAAATACATGAAATACATGAAATCACTCACTGAGCAATGAGAAAATCAGACTGTTCATTTAAACATCAGCATGATAAAAAAAGATATTAACCTCAAGAGCAATACCGGATGGAGGAGACCTCCGTGTTCACAAAGTCCAGCCACTGTGCAAAGTGCCAGCCTTCACTGAGCTTGCAGTGAAGTATCTCTGAAAGTATCTTTCCTGTAACACTCCCACTCACTCATTGCCAGTCTGGGCTCTTGGATTGAGGCACTGGGAGA